AAAGTTAACGACATCGACAGCATTGCTCACTTCTGGAGCAAAAACCACTGATTCCTGCAGAGCCACAGGCAGTACAGCTCACACAGGATGCTGAAATTTAGCACAGTGTGGTTTTGTGATATAAATTAGAACTTGACTCTTTCCCTAGATGCCACTTGTCAACTCAATACACGTCTTGTTCAGTCCTCTACTCCATTCATCACAACTAAACACGGGTGTCTGCTCAATAAAAGACGATGATGCAGCAAACATCTTTTGTCTTTATCAGTATGTTACAGGTCACAAAAGCTCACATGCATTTGAACCAGAACACAAAAATGTACACATTATTTAAAAGGATCAGTATGAAAATAGAAACAGGCCAGAGTTGATCAATAGTTTGTCTTCAACAGGTTGTAAGGGTGCATGTGCAGGATGAGCTAACAGGTGATCTGTTTCACTCTGAGTGTGTCAAAACTTGAACACACATGGTGTAAATATACATTTATAATATTTAAAATTGCAGATTCACAGATTATTATCACAGCACAGTGAAAAAATTCTCAACAGTGATCCTGTTGTGAGTCAGTGTTTTGGGGTTTTTTTGCTCTGTGGTCAAATTTGTCAGGCTACAGTTTTGTGTTCGTGTCCCTTCCTGTTGAACAATCATACCCCCCTAAGTTCTGTGTGGCTGCTGTATTTGCAGCAGAGCTGTTGAAAAGGGGGGAAGTTTTCTTGAGTTCACATCAGCACTGTTCTTTTTGTTTCATAGCAAGAATCTCCAGAAATTGTGTTAATGTTTTTTTTAACTACTTAATAATAATAAGCTAACAGAAGTTGTGATAAACAGCACAGTCCCATTTAAGGAAACTTGAACTTCATTCATTTATTTTTTCTTGCCTGAAATTCTCACTGAGGGCTCATATTTTCTTTATGCCTGGTCTAGAAGTCAATTTAATTTTTAATGGATATTAATCTGGAATTTGTTCCCATATCACTCAAATCTAAGCACATATGACACATGACCATCCCTTAGAGAAATGCACCCAAACTACTCCATACATTACAACAAGCAAGCATTACAACAGACCAGCAGCAGCATGCAGACTGCAGCATAGTCAGGCTGTCTATGTGCAGATGGCACAATGAAAATATAAATCCAAAGTCCAAAGACACCGGCTATCAGGACAGACGCTCTCTGTTAACATCCAAGTCATTTAAGCTACCAGCTCTCTAGGTACTCACATAAAAAGGGTGGGGAGGATGATCCCCCTCCATCCACCCAAAACTGACTGCCAGATCACACCCACCTGTTCTCATCAGAACAAGAACAACAGCTTCATGTCTCAGCTCTGAAACCTCAAAGACTTTTATGAAAAGATCTCCAGCCGACGGGAAGATTTGTGGCTGGGTGTGAAGAAAAAGAAAAGAGGCTCATAATAATATTCTGTGTAGGTGGAGAACACGACACGTGGTCGCCTGTTTGCCTTTGGCCATTTAGTCATTTAGTGACCACAAACAAAGGGGGGTTGTTTTCTTTAGAGCAGTAGATCTGTTGTAGGCTGTGTGGAAACCCTCCGTCAGTTTACAATTCCGTTTTTTAACCAGATGTCACGGATTCATGTTTTCTTGGAAGCTTCCGCGCTGATCTCGACAAACAGTGTAAACGTACCTCTCCATTAATCTCCCGCCGTCGTCCGTGAAGGGTGTTTCATCTTGTTCTCTCTATAAATTCCACAAGATGCTCGGTTGAACTTTCCCTCCTCCGAGGTAAACTTTTATTAAACTCTTAACAAACAGTCACGAGTCTCTACTTCTCACCTTCCGGTGTTACACTCTCAAGACTCCGGGCGGAACACACGGGTAAATGCAATTCCCATTGCTACAAAGGGGCCCAGGTGTTCCACGCGCTCGCTTTGGTCGATTAAAATGACTCCAGTAAACCTGAAATACAACGGAGAGCTAAAGCTAGCTTTGTAGGACTGCGCAGGGAACAGCTGAGTGTTCAGGGTTTGTTTTTTCCTGTTGCTGCTCGGCGCAGTGAGATCGGAGAGGAAAGGAAATGACCCTGTGAACGAGAAAACGC